ACGGACGAAACGTAACCTCCTCTCTCTCTCTCTCTCTCCCCTTTCATCCCCTTCGATACTCCCCTCCCCCTTTTGCTTTCGTTGGCAACATTCCGCGGAGCTACGGGATAAACCGGTGGAATTTGGCAGCGGCCAAAATTAATCGTCATTCACCCCTCGCGTCTAGTTCTCGTTCTGGTTGAAATTTATCGTCCGGCCGGAGGAAACGTTCGTTCGAAAACGTAGGTTGGCGTACGAGCCAACGACGACGACGACGACGACGACGACGGTCGTTCAAACAAACGTTCGAGTCGGTTCGTAAATTGGCACGCGTTCCCACCCCCAAGCATGATCCGAGCTTAACATTTCGACGCGATGCGTATTTCGTCCGTCTCCTTTCGAAACGATAGGTTGCTCGCAATTTCTAAAAGCGGAAGTCGTTGGCCCTCACGTTTCCTCACGTTTCGTCTCGTGGTTTATCGTCCACGTTGGTGACAAGTTCCGTTCCGGTCGTCGCACGAAAGAGACAAACGAGTTCATATCATCGTTCGATCCGGGAATCGAATCGATGGAAGGGACGAAACGGCAATTAGTTCCAATAATCGTCGTGGGCCCCGGCCGGTTGACGAGAGAGGTGATGCCGATCTCCTCGAGATTGGGGGAAGGGATGTTGTATTATAAAAGCAATTAGAGGGTCTCGGATTAGATGCATCGTACATAACAAATATGATAATACGGGGCCAGCCAGCCCGAAGGGAGTTTGGCTTTGCCTCGGTCGAGGGGGTTTCGGGTTATGGGGCAGGTTAAACGGAATCATTAATAATCGGGGCTAACTAATCTGCCTGTCGCTATGAGCACACTTGTTTCCACTCCTGTTTTTATTATCCTCGGAATATAAACGTTTTATCCCCGCGCGTCACGTTACGTTACACCGTTCAATGGGTGGGGAGGGGAGGGCAAGGAGGAAACTCGCGATTTTTTTTCCTTCTCGATCGATGATGAAAAATCGACGCAAACACGTTTATCTTTGCCTTTGGTTTCGTTCTTTCAGCTTTACGAGATCAACGACGATCCGAAAAGGAAGGAATTCCTGGACGATCTCTTCAGTTACATGCAAAAACGAGGTAAGTGCTCCTCCTCCCTCCCTCCCTCCTCATCCTCGTTCACGAACACTCTTTCTTCTTTCTTTTTTTTTTTTTTTTTTCTTTTATCCCGCGATAATAACGATGACAATAACAACAACAACAACAACAACAACAATAATAATAATAATACGATACGATCCGCCGATAGGACAATCGTCGAGCAATCGATCGGATGGTAAACGCGATATCCGCGTAGGGTAAACAAGAAAAGGTATCGACGTCAAACAACGTCGAAATGGCGCCGCGCTCATTAAAAACTCCCCTTCACCCGCGCGACCCTCTCTCCTCCCCCCTCCCCTCCCCCTCCCTCCGTCCCCACCGCGGCCCGCGCCGCGCTTCATTATCGTCCGACCCAATCGTTCAATCGTTCGAGCGGGAATTAATTTCGCAAATATTGATCGTCCCGATCGACGTCCAAGGCCGATTCCTCGGTTGGATCGGGACGAATGTTGGAACGAGCCCGAGTTTTCATCCGCGCGGACTCGGCCGGCATTTGTCTCCATCCAACAGGCGAAGACTTATTGCGAAGATCTGTTGGCAAGCGTTCGCCGCCGCGTTCCTCCTTACGCGCGGCCCTTTACGATCCTCTCCGTAATCCCGTGCGTGTCCGTGCGGGGGACGACGCAACCAATTTAACCTTAGACCACCTACGCGTACCATCCCTCCTCTGCTCCTTTCCATTCCCCAATTTCCCCCTCCAATTCGAATCGAAGAAATGCTCGATCTCTCGTTTCTTGGTTGGCGCGCGTGCCGCGTCGCGTTTCGAGGATATATTTGTTCAAAGCGGCGCATTGTCGCGAGAGAGAAATCGTGCCAAGGTATTCGGTTCCACGATCATCTCTCTCTCTCTCTCTCCCCCTCTGGCGAATCATCTTCGAGCAAGGAGGTCACAAGCGGTTGATTAAGAATGAAAAATTATCGAGGGTAAGGTTTGGCGAAAAGTTAGAAATGTATATCCCCGACGACCGTTGGAGGAAACGAAGCGCACGTGCGCGCCCGCATCTCGTTTCCTGCACACGTGGGATTCGCGCATCCCAACGCCTCGTAAACGTCCACGTGGTCGGAAAGGTTCGATAATACGTTGCATCTGTCAGAAACGGACGGAATTAGATCTTGACCAACCGCTGGAAACTGTCTATCTGTCCTTTTCCGTTTCGAAGGGACGAGGAAAATTACGAGAGAATTTAAAGATCTTCTATCCTTTTTCGACCGTTTCTCCTTGAAAATTGCGAAAATCGTAATTCTCCCTCGAGATAAAAGATGTTAAGACGATCGATTCCGCGTCTATAATCATATAGAAACTTGCCGACTCTTCCGTTAACCTCTTCTCCGTTCATTCTTTCAGAGATAATTAGAAATCGAATCTTTCTTCAATCGAACGACGATACAATGGCCAAGAATTGGCGCGAATCCGTAGCAAGAGAAATACGAGGTGGAGAGGGCAGGGTCGGTCGTATTTCAGAAATTGCTGTGTATACAAACACAAATTTCCAATCAGGGAGGATCGATGGCCGGTTGATGCGATCTTTACTGAGGTCGATTAAAATCCTGGCTCGAAAAAGGAAAGAAGAAAAAAAAAGAAGGAAAAGGAAGGAGGGGTTGCGACGAGGGAATATAAAGGAGCGTATCGAGGGGGAGGGGGAGGAAGAAGCCGGGAACGAAAAGCCGGGGTACCGCCCCCCCGCGGGGCCTGTTATTGTGTCGACGTGAACAATGATTCGACGCTAACGCGATTCATAACACCTCGGCCACGTTCACAGATATAAAAGACCATCCATCACATCCCGCTACATTAGTCGAGCCATCCACGATTCTCTGTTTGTTATCGATTCCCTGCCCCCAACTCGCGGCGAGCCACCATTCGCATCGAATCCCCCGACCTGTTAACCCCCGATCTTGCCACGGAGTAAAAAGTGAAAATTAACCAGTTTCCTTGTTGTGTCCCTTTGTCTCCCTTTGTTTTTTGCAAAAGTTTGAGTCCAACCATGGGGAAAATTTGAACAGTCGAAGTTACCTCGACAATTTCGATCACTTGCGGGGCAAAAACGTGGCAATGATCGTACGAAACAAGTATACTTATACTTTGTTCGAAATTCTCAACCAGTTTCTTCGATTCGGAAGATAAAATTTTCGATTTCTTCGCGGAACAGCTCGAGAGCTCACTTCTCCCCGGCTGGCATTAACGTCGGGGATTATCCCAATTAAAAGGTCGTAAAGTTGATCATCGATAGAGAATTCGGGATGCGAGTTCCATCTGTCTCTCTCTCTCCGGATGACCTGTCCAAATAGATATTACCCGTTTCGCAACAAAGTGTTTCGTCTCGTTCGTATACGAAACGGGCCGACGAGGCGAGCAACCGGAACGCGCGAATTCGCATAAGCGGGACGTAATTGGCCGCGCGAGACTTCCATGCCCTCTTGGAACCGGTTCATCCCGATCAAAGGAGACACCTCCTCTCTCGAGAAGTATAATTGGAACTCGGCTACTTTCGCCCTCCGTTTTACGACCAACCCCCTCTCTCGATAAAAACCGATTCTTTCCCCGCCCCGATATTCGCGAATATGTTGCTCCTCTTGAGAAGAAGAAAAAAGAAAAAGATGGATAAATAAACGGTCGAGGTAGATTACACTCGTCGGATGTTTTCACGTCGCGTCGGAGGAGAGAAGCAAGAAGCTCGGTGGAGAGCAAGAAGGTTGCTGCGTTTATCGCGGAGGGAAGGTTCTTTATTTATCGCGCGTATTGCTGGCACCTCTTCGGGGCCCCGACCGTTATAAATCTCAAGCCATTTAATATGCAAATCCCGCCACCTCCTCGACAGCCCGAGGACTCTCTCTCTCTCTCTCTCCTTCCTCTCCTCTCTTTTTTTTTTTTTTCCTCTTCCACTTCTTTTCCATCGCGAACGAGTTTCAATCGCCGATGTAATTCATACCATCGCGAGAGAGCAAATGCCATTCTCTCGTCGAATACGTTATTATCTTACTCCTCCCGGCCCCTCCCCCACCACGGATGCTCGCGGGACGGCCGGCTACGCGCCAACACTCCCACGAGGACCGCTCGATTTTGTGAGATCCTATTCTTCCTCTTTCTTTTTTCCACTTCTTTCCGATTTTGCAAAGCCACGCTTCCAACACGATTGTACCAGTTGTTAAATTTAAGTTATTTCGATGATTTATTGTTGGAACGCAACTTTATTTTTTAACTAATTTTCAACGGGATCGACTCTTCGGCTGATCGATTCGTGCGAAAGTAGCGACTCTTTATTCAACGATTTACAAAACACTGCAAAAAATAATTTATCGGTGATAATCTCGTCCGATGCTTGGAGATGAGCAATACTAGGAAAAATAACCGATTGTGTCGCAGCTCCTTTCGAAAGAATCGAACAGTTACCGCGAATACTTTCACCTCTTTGCAATCTCATTTCGACCGTATCGACTTTGCCGTCCCATTATCGAATAGGCGATAATGTCCCATTTGGACGTAGCTTTCGACGTGGCATAGGTTGAAAAATAACGAATAATACTCTCTCCGTTCTCCGAAAAAGGAGAAGGAAGGAAGGAAGGAGGGAATTCTCGATCGATGATCCGCGTATCTATGATGGTGTGTCCGCGAAAGCAAGAGTGTGAACGATAATAATACTCGGCGGGGCAATAATACTCGGGTTTGGTTTGGTTGTATAAGTGCATTGCACCGGGCAGGGTCGCGAGTCGCGTTACGACCGCCTCGAGAAAAATACCTTTTTACGCGGCGCGGGTAACGCATTAGCGGCGAGGAACACGTGTTCGGCACGAACACTTTTCGCTACACACTTGTGAACGAGCACGCCGTGCGTGCCGTCTGCGTACACAACGCGTCTCCGCGCATACGGTCGCACGTTCGCTCTTTTCACCGGCCGATACTTTGTACCCGTTCGCGGATTATCGCGTCCTCTCTCTCTCTCTCTGTCTGTGTATCCGTCGAAGAAAGAGGAATACTTAGAAAAAGCCTCCACCGTTTCCCTTTTCTTTGCCACACGGTATTCTATGTATAGAACCTGAATGGCGCCTCTTCTCACGCGAACATTCTAGTTGGAATTTGGTTAAAACTCTGTTACCAGTCGCGTTCTCTTCTGTTCCTCTTCTTCTTCTTCTTCGTCTTCGTCTTCGTCTTCTTCGTCGACTTCTTCTTCTTCTTCTTTTTCTTCTTCTTCTTAATGGATATTTCTCCAGAGAAGGATAATTTAATTTCATTTTCGTTAACGAGTTAAGGTGCGTGTTTTATAAAAATATATATATATATATATATATTCGCAAGAACTTTAACACTGAAAGAAAGAGCAAAAAGGGAGGATTCCGCGAGAAAAGTCGGTAATTAGATGTTTCTTTTTCTACTTTTCTGCAACGAGACTCGATATTTGATGATTAACGTACATCATAAATCATAATGTATAGGAAACCGAAGGTATAAAGATTAATTGCATACGTTTATTAATTCGTCTTAACAACGTCGTCTTGATTTTATAAAAATGTTATCATCCTTTCCTATTATATTTTATTGATTCTAATAAAGAACAGACGAAACAGCGATACATAATTACAATCGATTTACACGTTTCAGAGCGCAAGCCAAAACTGATTTTATAATACAAAGCATGGATAGATAGGCAAGTTTAATAAGTCGAATAATTGGCGTCGTTCCATTTTATGTTATGCAAACGGTGTTACGAAGTCTTCGGAGTCTTCGAAAAAAATATTATTAAATTTCGTCCCCGATACGAATCGAGACGTTCCACTTTCGTTTCGATATATTCGAATGTAAAAGTAACTTTTTACATCACATTTCAAAGAAAGATGAACGAAATCGAAATCGATCCAACTGAACAAAAGAATCAAATATTTTTGTACACACACACACACATATATATATTCGATCGAATTTTCAACACATTTCCTCGTAAAGATCTTTCTGTTTTCGAATTCACCGTTGTTCTAATTGATCG